TGTATGTATGAGGGTAGTGTGTTACTGTTTGTATGAGGGAAATTGTTACTGTAGGTATGAGGGGAGTGTGTTACTGTAAGTATGAGGTGAGAGTGTTGCTGTAGGTATGAGGGAAATTTGTTATTGTAGGAATGAGGGGAGTGTGTTACTGTAGGTATGAGGGGTGTGTGTTACTGTAGGAATGAGGGGAGTGTGTTACTGTAGGAATGAGGGGAGTGTGTTACTGTAGGAATGAGGGGAGTGTGTTACTGTAGGAATGAGGGGATTGTGTTACTGTAGGTATGAGGAAAATGTGTTACTGTAGGAATGAATTGAGCACAAAGGTGTGAGTGAGCACTGTTAAGGCAAAATTAAAACAGACATAGTTGCTGACATGCGCACAAGCACAGGTATATACATGTACACGAGGACTCAGCGCAGTCCTTATACGTTATACTTTACACTGTCCCGTTGCACGAACTTCATCGTATTCCATCAAAGTGTTAAATACCAAGGTTAGTTCATGCCCAAATTCGCCCTCGCCTTTCACCTCACACCGTTCTGACTAGCCAGCCCATGCACACCAGTCTGCTCTCTAACTGACCTGCACCTCAACCACACCCACCCACTCCGTAGCACAACCACGACCACATCCACCGACCACGAAACAGTCAGTGTCTCGACTGACACCGACAGCCGCAGCACCAGCCGTAGCACCAGCACTAGCACCAGTGTAGGGTTTCTATCACCGCCACAGTTTACGTCGGCCGATGTGAGTCGACAACACAGTTTCGAATTACCCTATGCACGACCACACTCCCCTCCACGACCGGCTGCACCCCCTCCCTCACCACCCTCAGCAAGGGATCGCCCGTAAGTCAGTCTGTGGGGCAGAGTGAGAAGAATGATGCGTGGGGATGGGGTTATTTGTGTGGATGAGGAGTGTTGGACGTATACATATATATATATATATATATATAATGTATAAATATGTGCACCCGAATGTAGTATCAGTACCTACACTCGCACATGTATTCCTCACAGTGACGCATGCTTGTAACCCCAAACACGAAGCAAACGCTCACATTTCAACCACACGCACTGCTATCCCAACAGCACTCAAGCTCTACGATGACTATCCATCCGTACGTAAATGCACTGTTTGACCGTATCGTTCGGTCGCAGTCCGCAGTCAACCGTGTGCTTACTGTCCGCACACCACACCACTATTAACAAACGCAGACATTCACACACACACACACACACGCACATGCGAGAGCACACACACGCACATAAAACGCATCCCATACACCTATCTCTGTCGCACACGCTCGCACACACTCTTGTTGCACATCACTCACCTCAACCCTTGTGGTCTGTCCCCTGTTGTATCCGTTGTCGTGGGTATGTCACAGTCTGACACCCCCGCCCAGGCACACGCCCACATCACCGCCCTATGAGTACGTGCACTCAATGCTGCGGTCACTCTCAGCGAACAACTCACCGCGGGTGCAGCGACAGGCGCGGGTGTTGCCTACGCTGTCCAAAAGTCCGACTTTGTTTGAACAAACCGGTTCAGCAGGACGACAAATGGGACAAAACGGTCCTATGGCGCGACAGGACAGGCAGGTGGGTACTGCCCCCCGGGTTGGGAGTCACCAGCGTACGGCAGATACTTCTCAGGTAGGATTTGTGTAGGTAGCGCTGCGTAGGTAGACATATGTGGAGATAGGTAAGTGTGAGGGGTGAGGGGAGTTCGGTTACATTGTTGTGTTTTGTTGTGTTGGACATAGGGTTAGGGTGTGTGCGCACCTGTAAGGCGGTTGTGTGGAGTGGCTCACATATGTATAACGCACTAGCGTATGCCTTGAACGGCCAGATGACTATAAATATAAAAGTGTGTCTCAACGCGTTAGATGACTATAACAGTGTGTTTTAGCGTGTTTATCACAAAGTTAAACCCAAACTAAATTACCTTCCAGAGCATAGCCTATGCGGCTGGGCCCACACAATCGATGGTTGGCACCGCACGCCTCGACGATACCGCTTTCAAAGCGGTACCGGAAATGGGCTCGTCACCCAGAGATGTGAGAGACCATATGAAGTTCGGGTTTGAGGAGTCGATAGGGTGGACTGTTCCGAGTGGTGGTGTGTGGACAGCTGCATGGTGCTTGGGGGCGCTTAGAGTTTTAGGGTTTTGGGGTTTGGTATTGGGGTTAGAGTTTATCGGTTCTGAAGGGTGTTAGGTTTCAGGGTGTAGGGTTTTGAGGATAGAGAGGGTGTAGGGTTTAGGATTTATGTTTGTGTGTTTTGGATAGGGGTGTGTCGAAGGGGTGCAGCCAGAATTGGGATGAAACAGAAAGTGGTTGAGTGAGCTGGAATTCGTTTTCGGAACATACCTACTGATTTTGTTTTGGTGTTTGGTGTGTGTGTGTGAACGTACTTACTGATTTTGTTTTGGTGTGTGTGTGTGAACGTACCTACTGATGTTGTTTGGTGTTTGGTGTGTGTGTGTGTGAACGTACCTACTGATTTGGTTTGGTGTTGGTGTGTGTGTGTGAACGTACTTACTGATTTTGTTTTGGTGTGTGTGTGTGAACGTACCTACCGATTTATTTTTGGTGTTTGGTGTGTGTGTGTGGACGTACCTACTGATTTTGTTTTGGTGTTTGGTGTGTGTGTATACGTACCTACTAATTTTGTTTTGGTGTTTGGTGTGTGTGTGTGTGTGTGTAAACGTATCTACTGATTTTGTTTTGGTGTGTATGTGCGGCTGTGATGAGTTGCCAGTCATATGCGGCTAATTAGACATAGGCCACAGATTGATTCTCGTGCAAGTTGTGCTGTGGTTGGTTCTATAAACATTCAACACGAAACGACATTCACGAGTTAATTGATACCGTATATTTGGTACAACTTAATTGATATGAATGATTATTACTTGTGAATACGAATTAAATACAAATGAATTGCTACTAATTTATTAATACAAATGAATTGCTACTAATTTATTAATACACATTAATTGATACTAATTTATTAATACACATTAATTGATACTAATTTATTAATACACATTAATTGATACTAATTTATTAATACACATTAATTGATACTAATTTATTAGTACACATTAATTGATACTAATTTATTAATACACATTAATTGATACTAATTTATTAATACACATTAATTGATACTAATTTATTAAAATATATTATCTGACATTAATTTATTAATACGAATGAAGTGTTACACCATACCTTTCTGATGCGAATTAATTGTCACTAATTTATCGGTGTGAACCTACAGCTGATGTGACGCAGGTGATCGATGTCGCAAGATTTCGCAATATCAGTTACGACAAACGACAAGAGATGCAGAGGGGCAGCATCACTTCATTGGGTAAGGGATAGGGCCACACCACGTTATGCTAATCAAACGGCTAAACCCTAAAACCCTAGAACCCTAAAACCCTATATGAAATAATCCTGCATTAATCCATCACACGTGTGTATTAATGCGTCCTATCTGTGAATTAATCCTGCATTAATCCGTCACACGTGTGTATTAATTCATCACATGCGTGCATTAATGCGCCCCATCTGTGAATTAATCCGTCACATCCGTGCATTATTCCGTCACGCGTGTGATTGTATTGCACTATCTCAGGCGCAATCGCAGGACAAGCGCCCTCGCAATCTCTGGGCGTCTTCACGGCTTGCCGCACCTCGTCGCCTTCAGAAGTGGTGTCACCAAATGCCACAGATAACTCCACCTCTCTGTCAGTTGTACATCCCAGTAGTCCAGTGTACACACGCACACACTCGCCCTTGCACTCACCGGTACTATCACCGTCACACATACACACACACACAAACACACACACACACACACACACGCCTGCACCTCCCCCACATGCACCCGGCACAGCTACAGACGCCCGACCCACAGTCAGCCAACTCTCTGTCACCACAGTCTGCATCACCACAGTCGCTGCACGCATACGCACACCCGCCTGTGCACACAACCACCCGCAACGATCACACAGCACCGCTGCACGTGACACTCCCCTACACACACACACGCACACGCACACGCACGACGTCTGTCCCACCTCCAGACACAGACGAACCCTTACCGTCCATGGAGAGAATGCCACGTAGAAACGGTAGGAATTTTGTGGTGTATGTGTGTGTGCGTGTGAGCGTGCGTGTGAGTGTGTGAGTGTGAGTGAGCGAGTGAGTGAGTGAGTGAGTGAGTAAGTGAGTGTATGTGTGTGTGAGGGTGGGTTAGGGGAGAGTATGTCTGCTAATGCTTCACGGATATATGCGGGCGTGATATTGATGTGCATTTTATGTGAGTTGTCAAATGGGCGTTCGTTTCTGTGGATTGGTCCGATTGGACAGTGGAAAGTATATTGGTTGACATACATTAGTGATCCTTATATACATGTGTATATTATCAATTGTTGATTAGTGATCCTTATATACATGTGTATATATCTATCACGTGTTGATTAGTGATACTTATATACATGTGTATATGAATAACACGTTTCATGGATTGTACGTATTAAGACTCGGTGCTACGTCGTAGTCACACATTATTTGTATATTACTACTCTACTATTACACTTGATACTTCAGACAGGCACACCCACACACAACACTCTCCCATAAATACATAACACTTTCTCACACACACAACACTTTATCACACAAACAACACACACTATCTCACACACTTGACACACTCTGTCACACACACAACACCTTTATACGCACACAACAATTTCATTTACGCACAACAACACACTCTCACACCCACAACACACTCTCACACACATAACACACACCTTCTCTTACACACACAACACACACTCTCTCACACACAACACACATTCTCTCTTACACCCACAACACACTCTCACACGCACACTCCACACACAACACACTCTCTCACACACACAACACACACCCTCTCTCACACCCGCAACACACTCACACACACACACAACACACTCATACACACACACAACACACTCACACACTCACACAACACACTCACACACACAGACAACACACACCCTCTCTAACACCCACAAGATACTCACACACACCCACATCACACTCTCTCACACACACAACACACACACGCTCTTACACCCACAACATACTCACACACACAGACAACACACTCTCTCACACCCACAGGTGCGAGTACAGCGGACTTTGTGCGGAGATCAAAGTCTCACGACACCACTCGCGGGCTATCGTCACTGCTGTTGCCCGCCCATGCACGCACACGGTCACCCTCACCTGTGTACAACGCACAAGTGCACGATGGTAACCATGGCAACAGCTCGAGTGGGAGTGAGAGCGAGGCAGTGAACATACACCTGGGCGTGTCCGCTGAATATTTGAACTCGCCGCGAAGGTCATTGACTCAGACTGCGCCTGCGCCTTCAGAGTTATCAGATGTGTTGCATTTGCCCCGCAGGGTTGCGCTCGGGTCGTACACAGGTGTGGACTATTTTTAGATGCGGAGTACGGTTCTATTTTTAGAACGGGATTACAATCCCGGGGTGGAGGGTCACGTATATACGGACTGTACTTTCGTGTAATGTCGTCTGTCTGGCTGTTATCTGTGTATTCAAATACGTTTCTGTCGATGTATTGTGTTACTTCGTCAGCTTTGTATATCCAGGTGTGTGCGTCGTTGTGCTCGTATTGCTGCGGTGTCCCAATCGGGTCGTTTGTGGTGCCATGCTTGACTCTGTGCGCACTTACATACGTTCCTGTACTGTGACCTTAATCCGCATCACACGGTCCTAAAAATACAGGACCTGCACCTCAAATCACAACCTCTCCCTCCCTTCCAGGACAATCAGCGGAGGACGGGGCGCACTCGGCATCATACTCAAGCACCACAACGTCACCCATTGTACCCGCACAGACGAACACAAGTGTACCTGTGCTCACCCCCACACTAGTAGAGGGTAACCCCATCCCAGACCCACAGGCACACGGCCACGCACAGCCACAGGCACACGAACAAGCACACACACACATACACACACACACACACACACAAACACGTGACCACACGCAGCAGCCAACACACTCTGCGAACACACAGCTACCAACACACGACCACCCACCACCACACACCCACCACCATATGCAACCACCGCCACACACACTCCCCGCCGCACAGGGGTATGCACAGGCACAAGAGACCACATACGCACAGGCACACGCACAGGCACAGACACAACCACACGGCCAAAGACAGCCCCACACACGCGGCAGGCTGAGCTATCGACCGACCATACCAGACTACCCACCCACTAGTGTCCCCAGGCCCAGCTCAGAGAGGTGTGTAGGGGGCGTGTGTTATGTGTGTTGAGAGAAAGAAAGTATGTATATCTACACATAGACATA